ACTGATTTAATGATGATATTTTTTACTAGTTTAATTCATACGGGATAACTTTTAATGTTAAAGCAACAAAGATGCCACTAGGCTATTGTATGAAATCCTAGATTTAATCCCAGTTTAGCGAACGACAAAAATAACAAACCATTCAAAGATATTGCCATATTCGGAGATAAAGAGTTGGGACATGCGTCATAAATTTTAACGAAATGTTTATTTATTTACTCAAAATAGTGTATTACTTCAGCTATCCCCATTCAGATTGTATCTCTAGCAGACGACCTGGGATGTCCTTTGTATTTATGCAGTAATCATCGTGTGCGTCCATCACAATTTCGTTTCCAGGGATTTTTCTTAGAATTAAGAAGTTTTTTTTTTTAAATTGGACATTATATGTTACACTATGATATGCAAATAAGCAAAAGAGATCTAAACTTTTCTAATGTTCGAGTCAAGGTCATTGTTACTTATCATATATATAAAGACCATAGGGGGTATGTTCCTAATCTCGGAATCCAAAACACTGTCACTGATATCTTTTTTTATATGATATGGTACTGTGATATGCACAGGAACCTGATAATTTGTCACAGCCTTTTTGGACCTAAACTAAGGTATTCAGAGTAATTTTAGATGTTTTAGGGGATTAGATCGACTTTCGGTAAAAATGCCACCCCAATGATTGTTATATATATACGGGGTTTAGATGGACTTACGGTAAAATTGCCGCCCCAAATGATTCCAAATTAGATTTTGCGCTTTGTTACAGGTTTTGTGATTGGTTGAAAGTAGTACATGTGACCCCCAAAAAACAGCTTTTAATATTAGTTTGAACGGCTGTTAGCAATTTAATTGTCATTCGAGTTGTCTCCCATTATCAAACCTAAACTCGCCATGCAAAACAAAAATCGCAAGATCTACTGTTTACTATTATTATTTTATTATAGTATCTTTGTCTTATTATTTATCTGAAGTATTAGAAGTTTTATAAATAAGTTATTTTAACTACAGTTGACCATATTCACAAAAGTGACACGTTCTGTCGTCGAACCGACGATATCAAACTGACAATATTCCGATGTCACAGTGAACAAAATAGTGACGATGTAAGGAAATAATCTGTATGTACTTACACATATACTGTATTATCCATCAATTTCCGTCAATTTACCAACGGCCCTCTTAATCCGTGTAAATTGTGCCCTGTGGCTATTACATTACATTGTACGGGCCACTGTGCACTTACGCTCACTTTCGCTCTCTACACCCCTGGAATATATCATAGCAAAAATGAAGGCACGCGGCTAGCTATTTGATTGGTGTCAGGTAAAAATAAAACTGACCAATCACTAGTCTGATACTTGTCCTTTGAAGATTACCAAGGAGCGACGCCCGACTTCAAAGCCTGTCATTTTCACCGCTACGCGACCGCGAGATTCTTTTGATGTACATCAATGGACCAAACTAGTCTTCTCGTCTCATCCACAAGGTGCTGCATACTGAGCCTTCAATTTTTCTATGACATATTCCAGGGATGTAGAGAGCAAAAGTGAGCGTAACCCCTGGATATCGAGGAAGCAGGCCTACATACGCCGCACATATCGAGGCCGAGGCTGCAAACAACCGAACCGCGAGGAACGCGGGGTTGGAATTAAGACACATAGTGTTCCTCCCATGATATTCAAATTAAAGTTCTTTCATATCTTTTATCCATGAAATTTCCATGAAACAAAAAACGTGACGAGTCTAGCTAATGCACTTCCCGTCATGTAAAAACCGCTTTCCTCAAACAGTGTGTCAACCCCGGCCTTCCCGTTCTCCAGAATCACCATCCCTCTTGACTCAACCATAGACTATTGTAAACTTTCTCTATGTAGAATCGCCTAAATTAAATCATAGCTCATTCGCAAACTAAACCACTGTTTCTTTAACGTTTTTCTCGACAAGGTCGATCAAGCCGAATGAAGCGACCGTGGGAAAACTTTCGCTTGAATTAGTTGCGAGATCCCCAAAATGACGTTGCTATGTTACGTCATATCTACTACGCTAAAGGACTAGGGGCGTTAAGGGTCATTTACGGCCTCATCAGGGATTTAGAATTAGTTGTGATGTTCGTCATCTTGAATAAATGAAGTCAGCAAATATGAAATTTCAAATTCATTCGACAACTGGTTTAGGAGATATGGTGTGAATATCGTCTTTTGAATATCGTCTTTTGTGCGCTATTTGGTTGAAAATTTGCCATTTCGAAGGAA